GGATGTGTGCATGTATTGTGTTGTATGGCGTACATGTGAATGCAAACGTGTGTGTGCATATATGGACCGTGTATGTGTGCTACATGTGTTTATGTATTCTGTGTATGTACTCTGTTGCATTTTATTGCATAATTAACACGTATAGGATATGCATGTATGTGTATTACATTTGTGTGCGTGGGGTATGTGTGTGTATATCACATGTGTGTATTGCATGTATGGATTAAATATGTGTTGTGTATTGCATTTGTGTGTGTATGCATTTATGTGTGTATGGATTATAGATGTATGTGTGTGTCGCACTTTTTGTTTTATATGTGGGTTATATATGAATTTGTGCATATGTGTGTGCCTCTATGTGTGAGTACACATGGGCTGTGCATGCATCACGTGTGCATGCACACATATGGCTCATTGTATTGTGAATACATGCAGGTATATATCATGGGTACATTGTGTATGTGTCCACATGCATATGCACAGAAGGATTATCAGGAGTTCTTTGTTAGCCTAAGTCCATCCTTTGGGGAGCTATGAGGAACTAGGGAAAAATATTTTGCCATGCAAAGGAAAATCCCATCAATGTCTTTTAGTTAGGTAGGAAATAAAAAACTAACCTTTGACACCTGCCCCCCCCAATCTTCTTCTTTAAAAAAAAAGCTACATTTCCACTGGAGGGAAAAAAGGAAAGGGGAGCAAAAGTGTCAGATGTTAAGACCCCGACATTCAACACAATTGGGTTATTGATTAAGCAGTGAGCGGGTAACCTGAGGTTTGTGGCAGACAAACAGACGGTCTGCAGCCTCTTGGAGGTGATGTCCTCTTGGCCTGCAGTTCATGCGCTTTTCTCCTGTCGGGGCGGGTGCCCTGCCTGGGGCCCAGAGGGACAGCCCCGCGGGGCCTGGGAGCCCCCTGCCGCGTGATGAAATGAAGCAGGCCTCCCCTGCACCTGAGCAGACCCGTCCAAGCCCTCGGGGCTCCCGGAGCCAGCAGCATCGCCCTGTTCCTCAGGAGCTGACATATATCCTGCTCTTAAGACAAGCCCGCGATTGCAAATCCGGGAATATAAATTACACTTTCATCTTTCTTTGGTTTTCTTTCTTTTGCTTCAGTTTTCCTTCCAGTATAAACTTTCCTGTCAAAAGGACATTTCTGAGGTGTCACATTCCGCGCCGGTAATGAACAGGTTGACAAATGTGGAAGGTGGGCAGACATTCAGGGGCTGCTGCGGCTGCCGCCCGCCTGGCAGCGCAAGCCGAAGCCCGAGGAGCCCGTGACTTTCAGAAAGGATAACGAGGCTTTGAAGGATGGGAAAGATGTCGCCATCAAGCTGCCCTTCTGCTACTTAGTAATTAGATAATTAGTCAGGCCCTAATTATGGGATCAAGGTGCAGGAAAACAATTAGTGGGGAAGGAATGAGTACATAAAAGGGAAATGGAGATTCCTGAAAACAATATTTAATTTTATGATATTCTTATTTGCTGTAATAATTTGGAGTCTTTCCTGAGATAGGTTGGGTGAGTATGCTTGCTTGGGCCTCTCCCAGCTGCCCCCTCTAAGCACTGGGTGTAGGGGGGAGGGGAGGGGCCGTGTTCGGAGATGTCCAAATAAAGCGACTACCAGGAATCCTGACCCACTCGCTGGACGGTCGTAGGGATGCAGGCGTGCTTGTGCAGGAACTTGGTGGAGGCTCACATTCACACACGCACACATCCGTTAACGGCGTGAACCTGCCTACCGGCCCACAATGGGACGGTGGGGAGAGTAGAGTCATCTCCCGTGGCCCAGGAAAATAGGGGAGCCTCCTAAATCCCTCTTCCGGGTGGGTAAGAATGGATAAACAGGTAAACAAGTTTGCAGGGCCCTTCCTGGGCCTCAGAATTATTAACACATTGTCTTGTTATCGTGATTAAAATTAAATGATGTTCTAGGCTCCTCGACAAATGAATTTGGAATGGTTACAGGACCAGCATTACTTTAAATTATGAAACTGAGCTGGGGGGGGTGGGGGGAGAAAAAGAGGGACAAAGAGAGAAAATTGAGCCTAACAGCCTGGTCCTTAACTATTATTTACCTATTATCTGAGAGAATTGAATCTCGGCGTGCTGCAGCAGAGAATAATAAAAGATCTGTAGGCTTTACAAGGCCCCGTCCTCCCATCCAGCAAGCACCAATTCCCAAGGGCTCCATTGCCAGCACTGGCTCAGCTTGTCTGATCATTTATCCATAATTAGAAAATTAATATTTTAGATGGCGCTATGATGAACCCATTATGGTGATGGGCCCCGATATCAATTATAACTTCCATTTCAATTTCACTTACAGCCGAGTAATGGGTCCTGGTGGCGGCTCGGTGATGGGCTGAGGCTGCCGAGCGTGACGAATACAGATCACTGCGCATTAAGATGAGCAATCATTTGAACATGTATTAAAAACTATTTACAAGCAATGTAATTGACCGGGGTCAGGGGGAGATGCTGAAAAATGGACAGGTTGACAAATTCTTGTTCCGTACCAACAGAAAGGATTTATTAATTTCTTTGGCTGTAATTGAATTTTTGAAAGGTTCTGGTTAAGCTCTCATTGCTTTGCTCATCTCCTGCACTGACCTTCCATAGATCTGGCTCTAGAGTTCCTGGTCGCCTTCATAGCCCTTGGCAGAGAGATGGCTGATGGAATTTAGAAGAGGGGAAAAAACAAGCAGCCACTTTGAAAATAGATTCAGCAGAGAATAACAGAACTGCCGACCTACAACTGTCTAACTTTCCCAGGTTTAAATAGATATATGTGGACGTACGTGTCTACCTGCATATGTATATACACACACACATATTTATATATGTGTACATATATGTGTATGTATTTCCCCTAATCCTGTGGATATTCAGCTCAACAATGAAGGATGGAATTCTATATCTTACCAGTTTGGGGGCTGACAGGAGCAATGATTTAAAGGTGGAGTAACCTTTCTGTGATATAACAAAGTTCAATTTTAATAAAATGGGTAAAAGCAGTTTTTTTTCCTATCTGCAGCTTCAGAGACATTAATGCCGCGTTTATATCTGATTCCTACTTAACCGTTTGTGTTTGTTAAGATAATGTTGCAAATTATTTAAAATTCCACTGCCACTTTTCTCAGGAGTGGGGGCGGGGGAAGGAAAATAATTATTGGCGGAATGATATTGCAGTTTGTGTCTGGCTCCCTAGTTGAGAAGCTGTTTTCTTCCTTCCATCCCTCTTCCTAAAGCTTTCTTTGCTGGGGTCAATTAATCCACTTTTTTTTTTAAATCCAGTTCAAGGCTATAGGAACAGGCTGATGGCAGTTATGCAAAGCAGAGAGCATGGCTTCCCAGCTCCTCACAGCCGAGAGTGCACTTCCTTCCCAAATTAGTCACCTTTAAGGCAGCGTGTGGCGAGCAGTGGAGGGAGAGGGGAAGGGAGCCCCTGTGAAAGAACGCAGCGTAAGATAAATTATGAAAATATCTCCGCGTCTTTATTTGTTAATTTTCTGTGGCCTTGGGATGCTTTGGCTGAGCTTGGCCCGGCTTAGGCTCATGCATTTCCCCTTGTTTTCCCGATGTCAGTTTAATTGTTCACTGTCAGGGGTAGAGTCAGAGATAACAAGCTTAGCAAATGATGTCTGCTGTTACAACACAGTGATTAATATTTTACATGTTATTATCCTCTGTCCATTACGACAGCAAATTAAACTATAAATCACACCTTCTGCCTATGTCACGGAATCATAAATTGTCTCTACCTCTGACTCGCTCGGCTGCTGCGGCTTGGAAGGTTCTCTCTTTCATGAGAAAACAGAGTAGAGGAAAGTGCCTGTATGCTTTAGTCTGAGTTATGGACTAGTCAGAAGCACAATATACATCAGGGCTTATGAAAAATGGGGAGTTTGTTCTGCTATAAAGCAGAAGAAAACGAAGCATCTGGGTAAAAGTTTGGAGCTGTTATGGAGAAACAATATGTTACAGAAAAATTCCTGGTACTCTTCTTGAAACAATTACTGTAGCAAGAGGCAACAGCTTTCTCGAGGGAGTGGGCACGTGTGGGGAAATTCACTGGGTGCTTGTCCGTGGGGCTAAGGAGGTTGTCAAGGAGAAGAATGAAGCCCTGGCTTTATAAGGAGTGGACTGGTGAAAGCCAGCATCCCACGGAAGAGAATGGTCTTGATTTTATAAAAGCTGGTGAGAGATGCAGTGTTTGTCCGCTGGGCACCTTGGTGGGTTTCTTTATGTTCTGGTGCTGGCTGGCTGCCCTCCAGCCAGTAAGTGTTGCTTCAAGGGTGGCTTCAGGAGTTGGCCTGGCCTGGCTGCCCACATGTCACCTGCTTGGGTTGGAATGAGCAGCAGAGAAACTGCCTTAAACAGAAAACACCTCTGGCTATCTGAATGCAGCAAAGGAGAAAGAGGCCACTTTGGCAAGACCCAAAATGGTGGCTCATACTCATGGGAACACAGAATCATAACTAGAGGGACCTAAGAAGGTGTCTGATCAAACCCTCTCACTTTGCAGATTAAAAATTAACAGCTAACATTTACATTTAAGGTTTGCAAAATACTTCACATGAACTATTTCGTCTGATTCTCACAACCCTTTTATGATTGCACCCATTTTACAGATGAAGAAACTGATGGTGAGGGAGGTTAAGCGACTTATCCAGAAACATCTAAGTATTAAGTCTCTAAGGCAGGAGGTCTTTAACCTTTTTGTGTGAAATGGACCTCTTCAGCAGTCTGATGAAGCCATGGACTCCTCAGAATAACATTTTTATGTATATCAAATAAAATGCATAGGATTACATAGGAAATCAATTATATTGCAGTGCAGAGATCAAAATATTTTAAAAGGTTCATGGACCCAAAATTAAGAATCCCTAATTCAGAGCTTTCACGTTTGTAAAGAGCTTTAATACATTTATCTCATCTGATTCTCACATCAACCCTATGAAGTAGATTCTATTATTATCCCTATTTTTACAGACAAAGAAACTGAGGCTGAGGAATGAAGGGACTTGCCTGGGGGTCTCACAATGCGTATATGAGGAAGGATTTGAACCCAGGTCTTCAAGACTCCAAGCCTTTCCTTCAATCTGCTATATAAGGCAGGTGAGGACACTGGGGCAAAAGGTAAAATAGGTTATAATTATCATCCAATCTATGTCAACAAGTATATTTTAAGGGATCAGTTGATATGAAATAAAAAGGCAGTTACTGCTCTTTGAGGCACAGTATTGCTAATTGAGGAGGGCACCACTAGCAGTCAGGGGGACCTTCAATACTTTACAAGGTCAGTCACTTCACAGTGAGTATTCCCTCCCATCCACCCAGTGAAAGAACTCCACACCTTAAGTTTTCATAAGTTTTTGTGGCCAAAAAAAAAAATCCTCCACTAGTGCAACTTTCTGCTCATGGTCTTTTTGCATTTAGCTAGACTGACATTGAATGCCAGACTGAGCCCCAGAAGTGTCTGTCTCTCCTTGTCTTTACCTAGTGGGATTCCCAGCTTCCTTCAAACACAACTCTGCTGCAATTAGACTCCACTGAATCTCGCCACCTTTAGCCATCACCAGGTAAGAAACCAAGGGACCACCCACGGTTTGCTGTGTCACTCCAAAGTGACAAGTCCTTCAGAGGGGAACCCGGGTGTCACCAGGAGTGGGCAGTCTCATCCCCACATGTGCTCCAGGGGTTGCTATCTTCCCTCTTCACAAAAGACTTTAGAGGAGGTCTGGGAGAACCCATCACCTAATGCTCTTCTCTTTCACATAAGAGAACAGCCCCAGCAAGGGTCCAGTGCCCAAATGAACACAAGTAGAAAGTAGCTAAGCTGTTCATCTCAAATCTCGAGTGATCTGTCACATATATACATATATTTATATGTTCCCTCCCCCATCCCATCCTCTTTGCCATTGGAATTTAGCCTCCTTGAGGGTAAAGATTATTTCCTTTCTGTCTTTCTATCCCCAGTCTCAACACAGCAACTGGTACTTGGTAGGCACTTAATAAATGCCTAGATGAACTGGATTAGATTGGAATAGATTAGGCCAGATAGGACTGGTTTAAGTTGTCCTCCAAACCCTGAAAGGGCTAAGTGGATTCTACCAGAAGTCCTAACACTGGGATAGAAAAATCCTTGTTGAAAAAGGTGCTGATCTAGAGGTCCACTTGTTTAAGTGAATTATAACAGTGGCTTGTAACATTCTATTGGCTAATGCATTTATTTATTTTCATTTTTCATTTAGAAAAGTAAGCCTGGACGGTTAGTTGCACATAGTAAGCACTTAACAGAGGTGTGTTTGATCGGGTACCCTAGCTGCAGTTTTTTTTTTTGTTCTGTTTTTTAATGGACGGAAGGAGTGGAGGTCAGAAGGAGCAATGACTTTCAAGCTCCCTAACTTAGTGAGATTTTATAAATAGAATGCTGGGGTTGACCCGATGATGCCAAGATGAATTATTCTCTGCATATCCCTTTCTGTCTTTTTAAAGACCTGCTGCTATCTTAGAAACACATGTTCCTATTCTTTCATTTCTATTATTTTCACAATAATAATAACTGACCTCACCTGGGGCTTTAGAGTTTGAAAAATGCTTTAATCCATTTTCTCATTTGATCCTCACCATAACCTGGTGACATATTGCTACAGGAATTATTATCCCCAATTTAACAGATGAAGAAATTGATCATGGTCATGGAATCAGAGAATCCTTGAGCTAGAAGGGACCATAGAAGTTGTTTAATCCAAGCTCCCAACTGATACAAGCATCGCCCCCTTCAACGTCTCTCACCAATGATCGTCCTGTCTCTGCCTAAATACCTCCAGTGGCAGGGAGCTCACTTCTTCATTAGATGACACTTTCTGCTTGTTAATGTTTCTAGAAATTTAGACCTGTCTGAGAATTGTTTCTTATATTGAGCCCTAAGTTGCTTCCCCATAATTTAAAAAAGTGAGACAGGGTGATTAGTTATTTTTCTGGTGAGGGAAAATTATATATGTGTGTGTATTTATGTATGCAAACATATAACACATATATGTGTGTATAGGCATATTCATATACAGACCAATTCACATGCAAATATAAATTCATGCATATACATGTAAGCAATACACATGTGGATATGTGTGCATATATGTGTATATATGTATGCATACACATGTACATACACATACACATACATACACATACACATACACATACACATACACATAGTATGGCAACTAGGTGGCACAGTGGATAGAGTGTGGAACCTGGAGTCAGGAAGACTTGACAGCTAGGTGGCGCAGTGGATAGAGCACCAGCCCTGAAGTCAGGAGGACCTGAGTTCAAATGTGACCTCAGATCAAACACTTGACACTTACTAGCTGTGTGACCCTGGGCAAGTCACTTAACCCCACTTGCCCCCCCCCAAAAAAAGAGAAGAAGACGAGTTCAAATCCAGATTCATACTAGTTGTATGACCCTGGGCAAGTCACTTAACTGTGCTCTGCCTCAGTTTCCTTATCTGTAAAATGAAGATAATAATAGCTACCAGAGAACTGTGAGGATACGAGATAATATTTGTAAAGGGCTTTGCAAACCTTAGAGATCTATATAAAATAGTATATAGTATATATTATATACATATAAATACTATATATAAATTGTGATTCATTATGCATATTTGTGTATATATAAATATAATAAATACATTCATACATATATATATCAGCAAGCACTTATCAAGACCTTACTATGTGCCAGGCACTTCAGCTCGAGGCCTCATGGCACCCCAAGAATCATGGAGGTCACCACCTTGGGATCAGCAGGATGAGGGGGTTGGGCTATATGGCCTCTAAGATACCTTCGAGGTCTCTGATGCTTGGATTCCTGGTAAGAAATCTCCTGTGACTTCCTATCTTCTCTGGGATAACCAGCAAACTCCTCTTTCTGTCACCAAATGTCCTATGCACTCTTGAGCCACTCTTCCTTTCCAGGCTGATAGTAATGAACGCCTATTGACTGATTGACACTGCCTGCTATGGACTTAAACTGAATAAAATTTTGTATTATTGGGAATGGAAGACAGTTACAGAACACAAAGAAATGGGTGGGGGAGGGGATCTGATTCTCCTGCCCTCTTTCCACCGATGTCACTGATTTGTTGAGCTGTCAATCAGCAACAGACCAACCGGAGAAGGTTTTAATTGACTGCAGTAATGGGTTGCGTGGCCTGATGCTGACTGATGGTGCGGTCAAGCAGTGACGGCAGCCCCCAAAATACTGGGGGATGCTGGAAGATACTGAAGGAGGCCAATTTAACACAAGAAGCAGGCCCAAGGCAGAAGTTTGAGGAATCAAAGTGAAGACTCCAGTGAAATGTAAGCTCCCTGAGGGCAAGGAGGGACTTTCCTTTTTAACTTTGAATCTCAGCAGCTTGCTTTGACCATAGTATTTAATGAATGTATATAGTTTGTGCAAGCCTGGAAAGTCTTTGCTGCATATACAGATGTGAAATCAATCACCAATCAACAAACATTTATGAAGCACCTACTGTGTGCCAGGCGCTGTGGTAGCTGCTAGAGATACGGAGATGAAAACGAAATCTTTCCTGCACTCAGGGAGAAGGACAGGCGTATAGGACGGAGGCTGGAGGAGCAGTGCTCTTTCCCTGTTGGCTTTTCTTTTGGGTTGACTTGGATTCTTCTGTACAACACATGCTGACTCTCTTGGACCCCCGGAAAGAGATGTCAAGAAAGCTCTGCGGGCTTTCTGGGGCTGAGTTCTTCCTGAAATGAGCTTGGGAGCGCAGGCTCCCCAGCTGGGATTGACAAAGGGAGCCATAAAGAACTCCCACCCTCAGCTAGCGCAAGGTTCCCCCAAAAGAAGCACGTGTCGGGACCAGAAAATATGGCTTAGGGAATTAATTAAGCCTGAGGCTAGTTTGAGCTAGGAGTGTTCCTGCTCTGTATGTTAAACAGTTTGCCTCCTGGGGCAAAGAATCTATTGGATAGGAGAAAAGCCTGTTCCAACCAAGACTCTGAAAGAAACGAAAAAAACTACACCCTCTTTGAGGGGAAAGATTGAACCCACTAACATCTTCTCAACTGAACTGGATTGAAAGTGTACATGACTGTCCCAGAAATAGTGGAACAAATATAGGGTCAAATCCTCAGACTTCTCTGTAGGTAAGTGACCTTGGAGAGTAGGGGAGTGTGGAGAAATCTTAGAGCTGGGACCCCAAATAGACTGTACCCAAATAGTCCTGTGTGATGACATCCAGACCATTTACCAATATTCACTTAACCCCATCATGTGCTAAGCACAGTATTCTATGCCGAAGGCTGAAAGTTTACCCAGTAAAGGTCTCCCAGTCAGTTGGGGTTTTATATCAAAGATAACAGCCAGCTGTTTTCTGGATAGATTTGTCAGACGTAAGGATGGACTTACTGGGAAAGACAGAGGTTGTGGCAGCTCTTTGAAATCAGATCCGGGCCCATCTGTCCAGGGTCATTACGTGCATTGGATGACCCCTCAAGGTCCCCACCAATGCTAGACTTCTCATCGTGTGCGTGGTAAGGGCTTACCCATCTATTTAATGAATGACAAGAATCCACGGTGCTCCCATATATATTAATGAGATAAAGGTACTTTGAGGCCCAATATAATCTGTTTATGCATTATACATTCTTCTTGTTATTATTCAACATTGATGGAGCACCCACTATATTATAAGTTTTTCATAGAACTATCTGATAACTCTTAGTTATCTGAAGTAATAAAGAATAGAATAAGGAATAAATAACAACAGTTAATAGCAGCTGATATTCATATGGTGTCTTCAGGTTTACAGGGCACTTTGTATGCATTATACCATTTGATCCTCAAGAATAATCCTACAAGGTATTTGCCATCATTATCCCCATTTTATAGATGACTAAACTGAGGCTTAGATTAGATGACTTGCCCAGAGTCTTTCAATTAGTTATTATCTAAAGTGGGATTTTAATCCAGATCTATAAATGGGAGAGGCTCAGTGAGAGGAAATTGAATTCAGGACTTCTGACCCCAAAGTCGGTGCTTTTCCAGTATTAGCTTCTCAGCCTCCAAGTCCAGGCTCCATCAGCTGTTCTACAAATGAAGCCAACAGATCAGCTTCTTACCTCTCTCTCTCCCCCAACACAGGTTTTAAGAGTCTTTTTCTTTTCAAAGCTCAGAGGTAACCAGGACTTTGGGGGCACCTGCCTCTTTTCACCTAATTTATATGTTTGCAAAGCTCTTCATGCCTGGTATCTCAGGGAATGCTCATAAGAGCCCTTTGAAGGAAGCCCTGCTGGTTTTATTAGCCTTATTTTTCAGATGCAGATGCAAGCCCAGAAAAACGAAAGGACTTGGCCAAGATCACATAGCTAGTGAGCAGGTGAGTCAGAAATCAAGCTCAGGTATTCCTGAGTCCAAGTCTAGAACTCTTCCCACTATCCATTAATCAATTGATCCATCAAACGGCAAAGATTTATTAAGTAGCTACTGAGTGCAAGGCACTGTGTTAAGTGTTGGGGCTGCAAAGACAAAACCTGAAAGTCTCTGCCCTCAAACAGATTATATTCTACCAGGAGGATGAAGTGTGGTCCAGTGGAAAGAGTGCTGGGTTTGAATCTAGCTTTGCCACTTACAAACTGTCTCATTCAGGGCAAGCCAAGACCTGCTGGGCCTCATTTTCCTCATCTGTAAAATGAGGGGGGTTGTGCTTGATGGCCTCTGAAGTCACTTCCTGCTCTGAATTTATGAATGAATGAGTGAGTAAGTGAGTGAGTGAATGAATGAATGAATGAATGAATGAATGAAAAAACAGAGGCCACATTGTATAGCTACTAAATTGCTGAATCTCAGTCAAAAAGACCTGGATTCAAATCTTGCTACTGACACTTAATAGCTCTATGCTCATGGGCAAGTCAGTTATCTTTTCTGGGCCTTAATTTTCTACGTTGTAAAAAAGGAAATTAATTTAGATGACCTCTGAGGTCCCTTTCAGTTCTGCCTAGTATCCATTTATTAAGAACCTACTGTGTGTCAAGCACACAGAATAAATGAAAATGATTGGGGTGGGAATTGCTTCCGTGACTACCGTGCTGACAAAAATGGCCCAAGCGGGCAGGTAGGTTGCACAGTGGATAGAGCTCCAGCCTTGGAGTTAGGAGGACCTGAGTTCAAATCTGGCCTCAGACACTTGACACTTACTAGCTGTGTGACCCTGGGCAAGTCACTTAGCCCCATTGCCTAGACAAAGAGCAAAAAAAAAAAAATGGCCCAAGATGGTGAAAGGGCCACCAGAAGGAGAAGGAGAACATGAGGAGGGTCTGCAAATCCTGAGTGGATAATGAAGGTAGCCCCTGAGAAAGCCTGCCCTGCCTTGCTCTCTACAAACACATGGGTAACTTTTTTAAATGGGGCAGAGGAGGGGCTGTAGCTGGGATATCCAGATGGAGGCCTAAGGATGGAGAAAACATTATGTGCTTGTAGACTGAATGTATTTTCCCTTTCCAAAAAAATAATAATAATAAAAAAGCACTGTACAAAAGTTATGTTTCAACATAAAGGCAGCCTGTGTTTCATAGCTATTCTAATTTATGGGCCGTACATTCCTGTGATTGTCTTGAACTGAATAGCCAAGTAAATAATCATATCTAGCCATAAGTAAATCACTTGGAGGTGAACCAAGCCTGTCTGAGGCCTTCAGGAAGGGGGTAACTGTTATATTTGGTAGATTTCTTCATTGGAGTTCTAAGAAAACTCTTTATCCAATCCAACAAAGATTTACTGAGCACCTACTGTGTGCAATGAGCTTCTGCTCCCACGAGGAGAATAAGATATACATCCAAATAAACAGAATACAAATTAGGGCATGAATATTCTTAAGGGAGGTCCATAAAAGCCATGATCTCTAAGGTCCCTCCAGCTCCAACGTGCTCACATAAAGGGTATGTGTAAAAGCACTAATGTTATTCTATTTTTTTGAACAGGTAGGTGAGGAAAGACAACAGACGTGGAAAGTCAGTGTGGCGCTATGGACGGAGAGCTGCACTCAACCCCAGAAAGACCTGGGTTCAAATACAGTCTCTGACACATGCTGGATCCCCAACTCCAGGCTATCTCACCTTTCCGCTTTCAAGGCCTCCATCTAAGACAAAAGTCACCAACCTCCATTCGTAAAGGAAGATTCCTTATCTGAGAATCCCATATATCGGCAACATTATAGCTCATGTCACTGTCCCCATCTCTTGGTTAATTTTGGTCAGACATTTGACAAAGTCTCTTCTGCTGTGATTATGGACAAGGTGGAGTGATTGGGTATGGCTTCTTCTGGTGGGTCTGTAACTCAGAGGATAACCAGACAACAACAACAACAACAACAATAATAATAATAATAATAAATGGCTGTCCTCTATTGTTAAATCATTAGCATGTGAAGTTTACCAAGCACTTTACACATATTATCTCATTTTAGTTTAACAACAACCCAAGAAAGTAGGTGCTGTTATTATCCCCACTTTTCAGATGAGGAAACTGAGGCAGGCAGAGGTTAAGCAACTTATTTAGGGTCACAGAGGATAAGTGTCTGAGGTGGGATTTGCACTCAGATCTTCCTGAATCTCTGACTCCAGGCCCAGTATCAGATCCCTCATACCTCTCACATAGGGTATGGACTGGACCACGGAAGGGATGGAGGTCCCTGCAAATGCTGGGATTCTGAGAACGCTAACTAGCTCATGCTTGTTGGACAGGATTGAAAGAGGCTGAAGCTTCTGGCTAGAATGAGGTTGGAAGGTGTCTGTGGCCTTACGTGCTCCAAGGGGCTCCTTCCCATGGAGAGCAGGCACTCGGCTGCCGTCTTGCTGCTGTAAAGTCAAACGGGAAACCACCCAGGCTTCTCTGGAATAGATGCAAGTAGTTCAGTATGGGTTCCCTTTAAAGCCCCAGAGTCAGGGAGCAGGCCTTCTGACCTGAGGATGAGGCAGAAGGGGTGGGAGGCAGTGTGGTGTGTGATAAAGGGACTGACCCTGTGCTCTAAAGGTATGGATTTAGATTCTGCCTCTGACACCAGCTGTGACACCGACCTGGGACAAAACACTGGACCCCCAATGGCAACTTCCTCATCCACAGCGTGGAGACGTTGGAATAGATGGCATCTGAAGCCCTTTCCAGCTCACCCGATAAGAGCCCAGATCAAGCAAGAACATTCAGAGGAGAGATTTGAACCCAGGTCAGATCATAAATATGTATCTGGGAGGAACTCAGAGCCCAGCTAATCCAACCTCTTCATTTTACAGGGGAGGCCCAAGGAAGTAAAATGATTTTCTAAAGTCCACATGGGTACAGGTAATGAGCTTCAGAGTTGGGCATCTGGGTGGCAAAGTGGATAGAGTACCCAGCCTGGAGTCAAGAAGCCTCATCTTCCTGAGTTCAAATCTGACCTCAGACGCTTACTAGCTATGTGACCTTGGGCAAGTCACTTTTAGTTTCCTCATCTGTAAAATGAGCTGGAAAAGAAATGGCAAACCCCTCCAGCGTCTCTGCCAAAAAAAAAAAAAAGCCAAATGGGGTCACAGAGAGTTGGACATGATCAAAAATAACTGAACAAAAATGACAATAACATCTGATTCTAGTGATGGTTTTGTGGCTTTAAACTGTGGCAAGGCTTTTGAGACACGGTATAAGCAGTGATTCTAGCCAGGTCCTGATTAGTACAGAGTGTGCTAATCACCTCCTGTGAGGCGGGCACACGTATTCAAATTCACACTGTTCCAAGGCATAATTGTGTGAGACGCGGGCATGGGGATCAGTCAGTAAGTACTACATGCTAGACACTGGAGATGGGCAAAAGGCAGTCTGTCCTCAGGGAGCTTACATTCTAATCAGGGAAGACTAGAGACAGATATGTCAATTATAGAAGACCCGTGCTGGAGAAGGGAGGTCATGTGAAGTGATTCAAAGGAGCATTTGGGTTTCAGTCCTGGCTCTGCCACGTACTGCCTGTGTGAAATTAGACCTCAGTTTCCTTGCTTATGAGGGGAGGAGGGAACATGCATTTATTAAGTGCCTACTATGTGCCAGGCACTGGGTTAAATGTTTTACAAATATTATCTTGATAGATCCTTACAACTACCCTAAGAAAGAGGTGCTAGTTTTTAGTGGTTTTCTTTATTTTAACCTTATTATCTCATTTTACAGTTGAGGAAACTGAGACAGAGGTTTAAGTGATTTGCCCAGGGTCATACAACTAGCAAATGTCTGAAGTTGGATTTGGACTTGTAGATCAGATAGGTTTCCAGTTTAAAAATCTATGATCCTGTGATATACATGGCTGAAGAAACTGGGGATCTTTAGTACAGAGAAGACTTGGGTGACTTAAAGGTGGCTTTCAGTATTTAAAGGTCTGTCTATCATATGGAAGAGATCTGACTTTGTCCAATTATTCCAAGAGAGCAGATCTAGAAGTAGTGAGTGAAAATTGAAAAGACGCAAATTTAGGCTTAATATGGGGGGGGGTGAGGGGGCAAGGAAGGGACTTCCTAACAAAGCTGTCACTCAGATTATTGAGCAATCAGTCATGAAGCACCTACTATGTGCCAGGTACCGGGATAGTCACTAAGCATTCAAAGACCAAAGAAAAACAGTCCCTGCCCCCCAGGAGCTGACACTGTATCAGGAAAACCACCATTTACAGGTATGACTCCGTGCCTAATGAATACAAATAAATACAAGGCAATTTGGGAAGGGAGGGCCACTCTCAGTTACTGAGTTTAGTTATCCCTGATTCTTGCTTAGGTGGTGTGTTCCATTGATTCTCTTTTCTAGTGTTTAACCTGTACCAAATAGTTATGATAATTACTGACTTTTGATATACCTTAATGTCTAGAAAGGCTGTGGGGTTGTTGCTAGTTTAAACCCTTTCATGGCTGGGATGTTCATGTTATAATCAATCTTCATTAATTTTTTAGACTTCTCCTCACCAGCCAGCATACGGTATACCTCCTATCACACCCATCCTACCCATCCCACCTCCCTTCCCATCCCAGGAGCCATAATTAGATCATTGCTCCTGTAAAGACTTGGTCAACTCCCCTATGGCTTTCCTTACCATCGCCATAACTTTCCAAACCAACATGAGCCTCCCTGCCCATCACTTCCCTAGGTCTGTTTTCTCTCCTTATTACAAGTAAGCCCATCAAGGGTAGGAACTGCCCTCACCTTTATATTTGTATCTCAGGTGTGGTGCTGCTCTTGGGGTGGGGCAGGAGGAGGAGGAAACTGGTGGATCATTTGAGTTTGGGAGTTTGAGCTGCAGGACATCTAGTGAAATCAGGTGTCTGTACTAAGTCTAGTACCAATATGTTGAGCCCTGGAGAGGAAGATGGCCACCTTGGGAAGGAGACTTGCTCCCATTTTACAGGAAAGGAAACTAGCCCTCAGACAGGTTAAATGACTCTCCAGAATCACAGAGGAAGGGCAGAGCAGGGCTGACACTGAAACCCAGGTCTTCCAACTCCCAGCACCTCCTTCTACCATGCCGAGTCTTCACTCATCCTCATCCTTCCACAGCCACTGTCCTACCTCAGGCTTCGTTGCCTTTCCCCCTCATTAGCCTCCCTGCCTTCAGGTCTCCCCTCTCCAATCCACCCTCTACCCAATATCCACATTGATATTCCAAAACCTTCCTTCTCTTCTCAAGGAACTCCAATGGTTGCCTCTCACCATTAGGATAGAATATAACTCAGCTATTTTTTAAAACAACTAGATGAAGCAGTGGAGATAGTGCAGGATGTGGAGTCAGGAAGACGAGTTCAAATCTAGCCTCAGACACTTATTAGTTGTGTGACCTTGAGCAAGTCATTTCACCTGTTTGCCTCAGTTTCCTCATCTGTGAAATGGAGATAATAATAGCACCTATTGTCCCAGGATTGTTATGAGGATCAGTTCAGACAATATTGGTAAAGTGCTTTGTAAACCTTGAATCACTTTATAAATGCTAGCCTTTATTATTAGGCACATTATTCCTATTCATGAACTCTTTCACTCAGCCAACCTGGGCTTCTACCTGACCCACACCCAATTTCCATCTCCCTCCCTCTTTACTCCTGCCTCTTAGAATCTCAAATTTCCTGCAAAGCCTGTCTAGAGTCTCCCGTCAAACAGAAGCTGTTCCTTCTCTCCCAGCTGCTAGCACCCTCCGTGCAGGACATTCCCATCCCCATCGCTGTCCCCCAAAGCCTTCTCTCCCTTCTCCTTCAAAGCTTCACTCGTCCACAGGGACCTTCCTAACCCATCACCAAGCATTTGGGGGCCCAGACCCTGACGTCTTTGCATTGTCACAATCCTGGAAGTCAGACTCCACCTCCCACGCTAGGTCTCTACCCTACTGAATGCTGAGCATTCACCACTTTTGGTCCGGATCCTCCCTTTTCTAACTCGCTCTAAGAACAAAATTAAATCACCTACTATTTCATCAAAAGGACTTGTCAATCAATTGCCCTCTGATTCAAATCACCAGTGATTTTCCTATCAACACTCTTGCCCTGGCCACCATTCCTCCACATTTGTTATCTTGTCTGTTAGAATGTCAACTCCTTGAGGGTAGAGAATAACTTCCTTGCTTGTACATAGTAGCTGGCACATAGGATGCTCTAAATAAATAAACAAACCAGCGAACGAAGGAACAAATAAATGAGCGAACCAATGAATTAACAAATAACTGCACTAATGATAGATACATTCATTCATTAATCCATTAAATGCCTACCATGTAGCAGGCACCAATCCCCTGGTTTCCAAAACCCTCTCTACCCCAATTCACTCCATAAGCATTTGTTGTGTTTATTACTATGTGTCAGGTTCTATGCTAAGCACTCGATATAAAAATTTTTTAAAAACCACTAGTCCCTGCTTTCAAGGAGTTCACATCTAAAGTGAGGAGACAAGCGAACAACTGTGTACATACTAGATAGAAGTGACATTGAATTTACTTTGTAGATGTTTGTATTTGCATATGTTATTTCTCCCAGTAGAATGTAAGCTCCCTGAGTGAGGGGCTGCTTCATTTTTGTTACTGTATGTCCAATATCTAGCACGGTACCTAGCACATTGTAGATATTTAATAAATGCCTGTTGAGTTGAGGAATATGTGAGTGAATGAATAAATGGATGGATGGATGGATGGATGGATGGATGGATGGATGGATACTTTTCCTGAAAGAAAGGGAAAATATTGCTGCTTGTTTGTTCTTCATGTTTCCACGTTTAATTCCAGCTCACATCTGTGGTACCCAATTTACAAGAAAGGATTTTAAGGGATTGAAAACACATTTGGGAAATCAGATCCAACCT